GGCCCAAAAGTCGGGAATTTCCGGGGGGGGAGGGGGGGGAGGCAGTCGGATCCCGGGGGGGGGAGGGGGGGGGGGGACAGTTTGGATTTTGGGGAGGGGGGGGGGGGGGGGGGGGGTGGGTCCGGGGAGGGGAGGGGGAGGGGGAAGCGGGAGGGGGGAGGGGAGGGGGGGGGAGGGGGAGGGGGGGGGGGGGAGGACACTCGGATCCGGGGGGGGGGGGAGGGGGGGGGAGGGGGGGGGGGAAAAACGTCGGACGGGGAGGGGAGGGGGGGGGGGAGGGGGAGGGGGAGGGAGGGGGGGGGCTCGGGGGGGGGAGGGGGGGGGGAGGACACTTCGGATCCGGGGGGGGAGGGGAGGGGAGGGGGGGGGGGAACACGTCGGTCCCGGGGGGGGGGGGGAGGGGAGGGGGAGGACACGTCGGATGGGGAGGGGAGGGGAGGGGGGGGGGGGAGGACACGTGGTCCGGGGGGGGGGGGGGGGGGGGAGGGGGGAGGACACGTGGTCCCGGGGGGGGGAGGGGGGGGGAGGGGGGGGGGACACAGGTCGGGGGGGGGGAGGGGGGGGGGAGGGGGGGGGGGGACACGTGGATCCGGGGGGGGGGGAGGGGAGGGGAGGGGGGGGGGAAACACGTCGGATCCGGGGGGGGGAGGGGGGAGGGGGGGGGGGGGCGGGGTGAGGGGGGGGAGGGGGGGGGACGGGGGGGGGCAGTGGGGTCCGGGGGGGGGGAGGGGGGGGAGGGGGGAGGAACGTCGGATCCGGGGGGGGGAGGGGGGGGAGGGGGGGGGACACCGGGTCCGGGGAGGGGAGGGGGGGGGGGGGGGGGGACAAAGTCGGATCCGGGGGGAGGGGAAGGGGGGGGGGGGGAGGGGGGGACACCGGATCCGGGGGGGAGGGGGGGGGGGGGGGAGGACACGTCGGATCCGGGGGGAAGGCCGCGGATCCGGGGGGGGGGAACGGTTTGGGTCCGGGGGGAGGACCCCTCGGATCCGGGGGGGGGACAACACGTCGGATCCGGGGGGGGAGGACACGTCGGATCTCCGGGGTGAGTGGGGGGGAGGACACGTCGGCGTCGGATCCGGGGGTGAGGACACCGTCGGATCCGGGGGGAGGGACACGTCAATCCGCGATTCGGGGGGAGGGACGTCACTTAAGATCCGGGGGTGAGGACACGTTCAGATCCGGGGGGAGGACACGTCAGATCCGGGGGGAGGACACGTCAGATCCGGGGGGGAGGACACGTCAGATCCGGTGGGGGGAGGAGGACACGTCAGATCCCGGGGAGGAGACTCTTCAGATCTGGGCCATTTTTGGGGGATTCTGTTATCATTTAGGATATAAAAAGGAGCCCAAACAACTCTGTGATCATAAATGGCGTCATGTCATCATCTCATCCTTCCATAATTATTAAAGACAGTTTATTGGCAGATCCGGCAGATTTTCCTCATTAATGCCAAAATGTCATTTCTGCCAGAGGGAGGGAGACTTTTAGGCACAAAACTGTGTACTGTAATTGGACGACATTCACCTGCTAAGGTCCCGCGTACAGTAAACAATCGCTCACATCCATTGCAGTGTACGCCAGCAGCGCATTGTACGGATCAGGCTGGGAATGGACGATATTCCTGGAATTACAATGTATCGAAACCCGACAATAATTAAAACGATGTTGGAACACATTGCAGCTCCTCAGATGTGCCGCCAATTCCCACAGCAAAACAAATCCACAAAAATCCGAGGAAATGAAAAAAGCAAAAAAAAACAAAAAACAAAACCCACGTGGGGCCGCGTGCGGGGAAATGATCTGCTAATTAGCACATTAATGACAATTCTAATTATCCTTTTATACATGAATCATCTATACATTTACCGGGGGAGGGGTACATGAAGCACCCAGAGTAGGGAACAAAGGTCACATGGCCTGTATATGATTGGTCAGCCGTGTACTCATCTCCTAGAATCTCATCACCACCCAACACACCACAAGGCTGGCCATACACTATACAATTTTCTGCCCAATTTCTGTTAGATTTACCTTCAACTACACTGAGGAAATGTGTATTTGCTCCCCCTCTTATGCTGCGAATGTTCGCCCCTCACACAGAAGATGATCGGTCTAAACAATGGAATGTTCGCCCCTCACACAGAAATGATCGGTCTAAACAATGGAATGTTCGCCCCTCACACAGAAATGATCGGTCTAACAATGGAATGTTCGCCCCCTCACACAGAAATGATCGGTCTAACAATGGAATGTTCGCCCCCTCACACAGAAAATTCGATCGGTCTAACAATGGAATGTTCCCCTCACACAGAAATGATCGGTCTACACAGAGAAAACAATGGAATGTTCGCCCCTCACACAGAAATGATCGGTCTAACAATGGAATGTTCGCCCCCTCACACAGAAACGATCGGTCTAACAATGGAATGTTCGCCCCTCACACTCAATTGATCGACATGGAATGTTCGCTGCCTCACAACACAGAAAATCGGTCTAACATATGGAATGTTCGCCCCCTCACACAGAAATGATCGGTCTAACAATGGAATGTTCGCCCCTCACACAGAAATGATCGGTTTAAACATATGGAATGTTCGCCCCCTCACTGGAAATGATCGGTTGTCTTGAACAATGGAATGTTCGGTTGTAACACTGAGAGGACAGAATACAACAACAAATTCAGCAGAAATGTGTCTAACAAATGATGACGGATCTGCATGTTCATGAGGGAACGAAGGATTTGATCCCCTATCATTCAGCAGGATTTCTGGCTCCCAGGTCGGTGTCTCTCATACAGGTAACAAGCTGAGATTAGAAGCAGTCTCTTAAGGGGAGTGCTGCTAATCTCATTGTGTTACCTGTAATATAAAAGACACCTGTCCACAGGAGCAATCAAAACCATCAGATTCCAAACTCTCCACCATGGCAAAGACCAAAGAGCTGTCCAAGGAGGTCAGGGACAAGATGGTAGACCTACACAAGGCTGGACTGGGCTACCAAACTATGGCCAAGCAGCTTGGTGAGAAGGTGACAACAGTTGGTTGCAATCATTCACAAATGGAAGAAACACAAAACAAGTGTCAGTCTCCCTAGGTCTGGTGGCACCCATGCAAGATCTCACCTCGTGGAGTGTCAATGATCATGAGAACAGTGAGGAATCATCCCAGAACTACACGTGAGGATCTTGTCAATGATCTCCAGGCAGCTGGGACCACAGTCACCAAGGAAAACAATTGGGGAACACACTACGCCGACAAGGACTCTGAAATCCTGCAGTGCTGCCGCACGGTCCCTCTGCTCAAGAAAGCCCATGTCCAGGCCCATCTGAAGTCTGCCACTGAACATCTGAATGATGCTAGTGAGGAGGACTGGTGGGAAGTGTTGTGGTCAGAGGAGACCAAAATCCAGCTCTTTGGCATCAACTCAACTCGCCGTGTTTGGAGGAGGAGGAATGCTGCCTATGACCCCAAGAACACCATCCCAACTGTGACACATGGTGGTGGAAACATTCTGCTTTGGGGGGGGGGGTTCTGCTAAGGGGACAGGACAACTGCACCGCATCAAAGGGACGATGGACAGGGCAATGTACCCCCAAATCTTGGGTGAGAACCTTCTTCCCTCAGCCCAGGGCATTGAAAATGGGTGGTGGATGGGTTTTCCAGCATGACAATGACCCAAAAACACACGGCCAAGGGGGCAACAAAGGAGCGGCTCAAGAAGAAAGCACATTAAGGTCCTGGAGTGGCCTAGCCAGTCTCCAGACCTTCATTCCCGATGGAAAATCTGTGGAGGGAGCTGAAAGTTTCGAGTTGCCAAACGTCAGCCACCAAACCTTAATGACTTGGAGAGGATCTGCCAAGAGGAGTGGGCCAAAATCCCTCCTGAGATGTGTGCGAACCTGGGGGCCAACTCCAGGACACGTCTGACCTCTGTGATTGCCAACAAGGGATTGGCCACCAAGTACTAAGTCATGTTTTGTGAAGCGGATCAAATCCTTCTTTCCCCTCATGAACATGCAGATCCGTCATCATTTGTTAGACGCATTTCTGCTGAATTTGTTGTTGTATTCTGTCTCTCAGTGTTACACCGAACATTCCATTGTTAGACCGATCATTTCTGTGTGAGGGGCGAACATTCCATTGTTAAACCGATCATTTCTGTGTTGTGTGAGGGGCGAACATTCCATTGTTAGACCGATCATTTCTGTGTGAGGGGTGAACATTCCATTGTTAGACCGATCATTTCTGTGTGAGGGGCAAACATTCCATTGTTAGACCAATCATTTCTGTGTGAGGGGCGATTATTCCATTGTTAGACCGATCATTTTTCTGTGTGAGGGGCGAACATTCCATTGTTAGACCGATCATTTCTGTGTGAGGGGCGAACAATTCCATTGTTAGACCGATCATTTCTGTGTGAGGGGCGAACATTCAGCATCAGAGGGGAGCAAATACACATTTCCTTCACTGTATGTAGTAAAAGAGTCGGCCTAATTGGATACAATTGAATGTGTTGTTAGGTTGGACATCGTATTATCTGGTTTTTGGTAAATCTAAAGCAAAATTCTCGAGAAAATTGTATAATGTGTGGCCAGCCAGTGCAACATAGAAAGTTCCTGGATGCACCCAATCATCATTTCTGAGAGTCCCCAACCTACATTGTGTGTTACAGCGTCTACCCGGTTACATTATTTCATATTATATCAGACTTTGTAAACCAAGCAGGGAAGGTGGGAAACCCCTCATAATGGGCACAGTGGGGGTACAGACCTGGGAACTCAGCACAGGGATGGTGGGAACCCCTCATAATAGGCACAGCGGGTGTACAATCCCTGGAACTCCGCACAGGGATGTTGGGAACCCCTCATGATGGGCACAGCAGGCATACAGAGCTGGGAACTCAGCACAGGGATGGTGGGAACCCCTCATAATGGGCACAACGGGTGTACAGACCCGGGAACTCAGCGCAGGGATGGTGGGTACCCCTCATAATGGGCACAGCGGGGGTACAGACCCGGGAACTCCACACAGGGATGTTGGGAACCCTCATGATGATGGGCACAGCAGGCATACAGAGCTGGGAACTTAGCACAGGGGATGGTGGGAACCCCTCATAATGGGCACAGCAGGCATACAGAGCTGGGAACTTAGCACAGGGATGGTGGGAACCCCTCATGAGCACAGCGGGTGTACAATCCCTGGAACTCCACACAGGGATGTTGGGAACCCCTCATGATGGGCACAGCAGGCATACAGAGCTGGGAACTTAGCACAGGGATGGTGGGAACCCCTCATAATGGGCACAGCAGGCATACAGAGCTGGGAACTTAGCACAGGGATGGTGGGAACCCCTCATAATGGGCACAACGGGTTGTACAGACCCAGGAACTCAGCGCAGGGATGGTGTGGGTACCCTCATAATGGGCACAGCGGGTGTACAGACCCAGGAACGTAGCACAGGGATGGTGGGAACCCTCATACTGAGCACATCGGGGGGGTTACAGACCCGGGAGCTCAGCACAGGTATGGTGGTAACCCCTTGTATAAGGACACAGCAGGATCTAAATGCAGGGTTACAGTGTTGGGATTCTCCATGCAGTGTGGTGTTCGGGGGGGGATTTCAGGGCGGTTGACGTCTCCCAGAAGACACAAAAATGATTGAATCTGATGGATGAATGAACATGACAACCAGGGAGGATTGGCACCACAACAATCTATATCTCTGATAACCACCCTCAGTCATGTCGGTTGGTGTCCTTCACACCCCCCAATCCCTCAGACAAGTTTCCTCCATCACACACATCTCCTGGTGTCACCACCCCCCCCCCATGGGATGTCAATAAAGCCCCTCCCCCACCCGTAGCCCCTCCTACCTTTTGGCGTCCTGGCTCGAAAGTCCGCCCTCCCACCCTCCGTTAGCTTGGGGGGTAAGGTCCTGGGGCCTTTTCGGCGTCCTGCTCGAAGAGTCGCAGCTGAAAGCACTGATCCAGCTTGAGTTTGCGCACGTGTGCCAACATCTGGTGGAGGTGCTGCCGCGTGGAGTGCAGTTTGTCCAGCAGGCTGGTAATCTTTGGCACAAGACTCTGAAAGTCCGCCCCCCTCCGGGATGCAGTTCCTGCCTGAAAACCCGTCCCCGCATCGGATACACTGCAGCAGCCTCTGTCCGTCTCGGTCCAGCTCCTCCACCGGGGCCTTGATCACCTTCTTCTTCTTGCTGGGTGTGTTCATCGATGAGCCTCCGGGGAGCCCTCCACGTCCACCGGGAACTCCTTCCTCGCCAACATCTCCTGCAGGTCCTCCAGCCGGGACAACAAGTGGACGGCGCTGTTGAAGAATTCCTCCAGAGAGACGCGCGAAGTTCGATCCATTCGTCGTGATTGTAATCCAGGGAACCATCGAACTCCTCCGTCAGCTGAGACGGGTCCACCAGCTTCGTGAGACCTTCCCACCGACACCATACTGGTCTGCGGCAGGAGAAGAGAAGACACCGCGGCTCAGGAGAAAGTACACAACGCATTGTTATATACATTGTTACAGATATGAAACCCCCGGGGGGAGGGGGGGGGGGGGGCAGCAGGGGGGGGGATGAAAAGATCGATGTCCTGGAACTTATGGACACATAAAGCGAGGCTCGGGAGCAACTGACAGTGGGAGCCAATGGGAAGAGGAAGACTCCGGACAGCTGAGGCTCCCATGCACATTGCTGGATGGAGTGGGGGCTCAGGTGAGTATTGGGGGGGAGTGCCTTTAGAACCACTTTAACCCCCTCTAGTCCAGACGCTTCCCCCCCCCATCCCCCCCCCCTCCCCCCCCCCCCCAGACCCCAACCCCCTCCGCCCTCCCCCACCCCTTCCAGTCCGGACACTTTCCACCCCCCCAGTCCGTGACGCCAGTCTCTCTTTCCAGCTCCGGACGCTTTCCCCCCCCCTTCCCCCAGGACAAACTGCCCAGCCCCCCCTTCCCAGTAGTGATTCCGGACGCTTTCCCCCCCCCAGTACTCCACTGCCACCTCTTCCAGTCCAGACGCTTTCCCCCCCCCTTCCAGTCCGGACGCTTTTCCCCCCCCCCCCTTTCCAGTCCGGACGCTTTCCCCACCCCCTTCCAGTCCGGTGTCGGGACGCTTCCCCACTTCCCTGGGTTCCCAGTTCCGGCCGACGCTTCCCCCCCCCTTTAGGTCGCTTTCCCCCCCCCCCCCTCCCCCTTCCAGGACATAACGCTTTTCCCCCCCCTTCCAGTCCGGACGCTTTCCCCCCCCCCCCCTTTCCAGTCCGCGGACGCTTTCCCCCCCCCCCCTTCCAGTCCGGACGCTTTCCCCCCAGTCCTTGGTCGGACGAGCGCTTTCCCCCCCCCCCTTCCAGTCCGGAACGCTTTTCCCCCCCCGATTTCCAGTCCGGACGCTTTCCCCCCCCCCCCCTCCCCCGGGGAACAGTTCCGGACGCTTTCCCCCCCCCCTTCCAGTCCGGAGACGCTTTCCCCCCCCCCCCCTTTCCAGTCCAGTCAGACGCTTTCCCCCCCCCCCCCTTTCCAGTCCGGACGCTTTCAGTCCCCCCCCCCCTTCCAGTCCGGTGACGTCCGGACAACGCTTTCCCCCCCCCCCTTCCAGTCCGGACGCTTTCCCCCCCCCCTTCCAGTCCAGGACGCTTTCCCCCCCCCCCCTTCCAGTCCAGACGCTTTCTCCCCCCCCCCTTCCAGTCCAGTCCAGACGCTTTCCCCCCCCCCCTTCCAGTCCAGGACGCTTTACACCCCCAACCCCCCCCCCCCCTTCCAGTCCAGACGCTTTCCCCCCCCCCCCCTTTCCAGTCCAGACGCTTTCCCCCCCCCCCCTTTCCAGTCCAGACGCTTTACCCCCCCCCCTTCCAGTCCAGACGCTCCCTCCCCCCCTTCCAGTCCAGTCCAGACGCTTCCCCCCCCCCCCTTCCAGTCCAGACGCTTCCCCCCCCCCCCCCCCTTCCAGTCCGGACGCTTCCCCCCCCCCCCCTTCCAGTCCGGACGCTTCCCCCCCCCCCTTCCAGTCCGGACACTTTCACCCCCTTCCAGTCCGGGCACTCACCCCCCCCCCCCCCACCCCCGGCCAATTTTCAGCTTTCAGCGCTATCACACTTTGAATGACAATTGCGCGGGTCATGCCACACTGCACCGATGATTGTTTTAGCATTTTTTAAAGACAGATAAAACTTTATTTTGGTGGCATTTATTCACCGCTGGGATTTTTATTTTTTTTTTGCTGCTATAAAAAAAAAAAAGTCCAAAAATTTTGAAAAAAAGTGTTTTTCTTATTTTGCAAATAATCTTTCTTCATAAATCTCGGCCAAAATTTATATCAGTTTTAGTTAAAAAAAAAAAAAAAAAAAAAAATGGCCCAAATTAGTTTATAACCAAAAATTTTAATTTTGCTAAATTTTTTTTTACATTTTTATTTTATTTTATTTTATTTTTTTAGCATACTGTCGCCCTAGCAGTAGTGTCACCATGGTGACAATGTACTACTTTTACACTGATTTACACTGATTGCTTTTACACCCATAAAGGCTGTACAATCATTTCTCCTCCTCTCTGTCTGCATTCTTGCAGCCATTGAGAACTACTGTGAGAGCTGTGATTGGTCACAGCTGGTCACATGGTACAAGGCTGTTGTGAATGGCCCTGTACCATGTGACCTCTGTGATCATTCACAGAGATTTCACACGTAGTAAGCAATGGTGTCAGAAGTGACATCTTGCTTACTACTCTGCATGTGATCACTGATTGGCCAATCAGTGATCACATGATCGGGACCTCACACAGAGGTCCCGTATGACGATCGGTGTTCTGTTGTGTCTGGAGGACACAGCGGGCACAGGATCGTTGTGCTGCGCGCTCCCAGGGAGCGCGCGCACAGACCAAAATGGGGGGTGCCATTTATGAACACCAACCCGCCCCTGCACTGCCCCGTCTGGCCGTTTATATACATGGGGGACGGGGAGGGGTTAAACGACAAAAATCATAAACATTCAGTTCAGGCATTGTCAGCTGGCTGGAAGGTGGGGGAGGTGCATTGATGATCTTCCAGGAAGAGGGAACCAGCAGGGCGGTGATCTACAGTGCGAACAGGGAAGTGGGCGGAGTCATCATCGCGGGAAACTCACCTCGAAGATGAACTTGGAGCTGCCGAAGTTGGTCTTTTGCTTCTGCCAGAAGTTCTCGGGCTTTATGATCAGCGCCACGTGGATCTCCGCAGGGAAGGCCTCCTGCAGCGTCTTCAGCAGAGGTTTGATCAGGTCCCACTTGGATCCTCGCATGTCGATGATGACGGTGAATCCACGCTTACACACGTCTTCACTGCGGGGTGGAGCACAAAAGGGAGAGTTAGAGGAATTCATGTTCCCTGGAGTCTCCGGAGTTACAACAAAACGTCAGCCTGACCCTAAAAACTAGAGGTGAGGGAGGAACATTGCAGCTCCAACCACAAAGGCTTGCAATCTAAAGTCGTATCGTCCATTGTCTGTGACTCCATATATCGCAGCACATTTACAGAAGAATTGTTTTTCTTTCTTCTATCCCATTTCCTGCCGATAAACTCCTTTATTTTTGTAGACCATCAGACACATTGTTTATAAACATTGTTCAGACGGGAGATGGAGATACAAAGTAACATTGTTTATAAACATCGATCAGACGGGAGATAGAGAGAGATACAAAGTAACATTGTTTTTATAAACATCAATCAGACGGGAGATGGAGAGATACAAAGTAACATTGTTTATAAACATTGTTCAGACAGGAGATATGAGAGATACAAAGTAACATTGTTTATAAACATTGTTCAATCAGACGGGAGATGGAGAAATACAAAGTAACATTGTTTATAAACATTGTTCAGACGGGAGATGGAGATACAAAGTAACATTGTTTATAAACATTGTTCAGACGGGAGATGGAGATACAAAGTAACATTGTTTATAAACATTGTTCAGACGGGAGATGGAGATACAAAGTAACATTGTTTATAAACATTGTTCAGACGGGAGATAGAGAGATACAAAGTAACATTGTTTATAAACATCGATCAGACGGGAGATGGAGAGATACAAAGTAACATTGTTTATAAACATCGATCAGACGGGAGATGGAGAGATACAAAGTAACATTGTTTATAAACATTGTTCAGACGGGAGATAGAGAGATACAAAGTAACATTGTTTATAAACATTGTTCAGACGGGAGATAGAGATACAAAGTAACATTGTTTATAAACATTGTTCAGACGGGAGATAGAGAGATACAAAGTAACATTGTTTATAAAACATTGTTCAGACGGGAAATGGAGATACAAAGTAACATTGTTTATAAACATCGATCAGACAGGAGATAGAGATACAAAGTAACATTGTTTATAAACATCGATCAGACGGGAGATAGAGAGATACAAAGTAACATTGTTTATAAACATCGATCAGACGGGAGATAGAGAGATACAAAGTAACATTGTTTATAAACATTGTTCAGACGGGAGATGAGAGATACAAAGTAACATTGTTTATAAACATCGATCAGACAGGAGATAGAGATACAAAGTAACATTGTTTATAAACATCGATCAGACAGGAGAGAGAGATACAAAGTAACATTGTTTATAAACATCGATCAGACAGGAGAGAGAGAGATACAAAGTAACATTGTTTATAAACATCGATTAGACGGGAGATGGAGAGATACAAAGTAACATTGTTTTTCTCCCATCTGATCAACATTTATAAAACGAAATGTTACTTTGTATCTATTTATTTATCTATCCCCCGTCTGATCGATGTTTATAAACAATGTTACTTTGTATCTCTCCATCTCCCGTCTGTTCAAAGGTCATAGAGAAGGACAAAGTAACATTGTTTATAAACATTGTTCAGACGGGAATAGAGGATACAAAGTAACATTGTTTATAAACATCGATCAGACGGGAGATAGAGAGATACAAAGTAACATTGTTTTATAAACATCGATCAGACGGGAGATGGAAGAGATACAAAGTAACATTGTTTATAAACATCGATCAGATGGAGATAGAGAGATACAAAGTAACATTGTTTATAAACATCGATCAGACGGGGGATAGAGATACAAAGTAACATTGTTTATAAACATCGATCAGAAGGGGGATGGAGAGATACAAAGTAACATTGTTTATAAACATCGATCAGACGGGAGAGATAGAGATACAAAAGTAACATTGTTTATAAACATCGATCAGACGGGAGATAGAGAGATACAAAGTAACATTGTTTATAAACATCGATCAGAAGGGGGATGGAGAGATACAAAGTAACATTGTTTATTGAAAACATCGATCAGGACGGGAGATAGAGAATACAAAGTAACATTGTTTATAAACATCGATCAGACTGGAGGATGAAGAGAGATACAAAGTAACATTGTTTATAAACATCGATCAGACAGGGAGATGAGAGAGATACAAAAGTAACATTGTTTATAAACATCGATCAGACGGGAGATAGAGATACAAAGTAACATTGTTTATAAACATCGATCAGACGGGAGATGGAGAGATACAAAGTAACATTGTTTATAAACATCGATCAGACGGGAGATGGAGAGATACAAAGTAACATTGTTTATAAACATCGATCAGACGGGAGATAGAGATACAAAGTAACATTGTTTATAAACATCGATCAGACGGGGAGAGGGAGATACAAAGTAACATTGTTTATAAACATCGATCAGACGGGAGATAGAGAGATACAAAGTAACATTGTTTTTCTCACCATTTATAAACATCGATCAGACGGGATGATGGAGAGATACAAAGTAACAAGTTGTTTATAAACAGATCGGTGGATAATGGTCGATCACCTGATACATGGCACGGTATCACACAGGGCTGGGCTCACCTGGGCACGCTGGCGAGATACGTGACGAGCCTGCGCAGGTCTTCTTGTCGTATCCTGTCATGGTTGCTGCGGGCTGGGAAGGTGAGGATGGGTCCTCCTCTCTTGTCTCGCCCACCTGGGAAGAGAGGGAGGGTGTTTAGGTCAATGATAAATCGATCAATTCCGGTACAGAGCGCCCCATTTAAGCAACTGCTGAGGTAAAACCAATCGGCCACATGGCACAGAGTTAATTTCCAGGAGGCGGAGCCAGACTACGACCAATCCGGACAGTCCATGAATCCTGAAGGTGGTCACAGAATGTATCAATAAATATACCACATGTGTCACATGGTACAACAGTTTGCTTGTTACGGCAATCCTATTGGGTGACAGTGGAGTCAGCCTCCTCCCGTAAGGGGTATGCTGAAAGGGCCACTGTCCTCGGGCCCATGAGATCAGGGGCCCCATTGCTCCGCCCCCTTATTTGACAGTATACAATGTAGTGAAGAACCATCAGAATAGGAGACGCAATCTTCACCGACTTGCAATATTCTCATTTTTTATGAACAACGAAGCGGAGTTCCAGCAAACGGTGACTGGACTTCTCTCCATTGAAATCAAGGACTACAGCTTGGTCACTGCCCCGCCCCCAGCCAGTGATTGGACAGGGAATGAGGTTACCTTTGTATCTTATCAGAACATGTACACTTCTGGCATTCTGATTGGCTACAAGTGCTGCCCCTCCCCCCCCCCCCCCAGTCTACTGTACAGGGGATTGCAGGAGGCCGACATGAAGACAAATGGAGACACTTCAACTAGTTCTACAACTGAAGATGCATTCAATTATTCTTCATTCCTTCATTTACACCGCGTTCCAAATTATTCTGCAAATTCTATTTAAGTGTCACGAAGATTAAATCTTTTGTTTTTCAGTGTAACTCATGGATGGCATTGTGTGTCAGGGCTCTTTTGATCACTGAAAACAATCTGGGACACCTGTGATCATTAGATTGGCCGGTGAGCCCAATTGAAGGAAAAACTCCTAAAGGACGGCGTTCCCCATTATTAAGCAGAGCACCATTTTCCATCAATATGGGGAAGAAAAAGGATCTCTCTGCTGCGAAAAGAGTGAAATAGTTCGATGTCTTGGACGAGGGATGAAAACATTCGATATTTCAGGAAAACGTAAGCGTGATCATCGCACTATGAAGAGATTTGTGGCTGATTCAGAGCACAGACGGGTTGGTGCAGATAAAGGCACATTGAGGAAGATTTCTGCCAGATCCAGGCATCGGATCAAGAGAGAAGCTACAATCCCATTACAGAGCAGCAAACAGATATTATGAAGCTGCTGGTGCCCCTGGAGTCCCACGGACATCAAGGTGTAGAGTCCTCCAGAGTCCTGCAACTGTGCAGAAACCTTCTATTCGGCCACCACTAACCAATGCTTCACAAGCAGAAACGGCTGCATTGGGCAGAAAAATACATGAAGACTCATTTTTCAAACAGTCCTGTTCACTGATGAGTGCCGTGCAACCCTGGATGGTCCAGATGGATGGAGTAGTGGATGGTTGGTGGACGGCCACCCTGTTCCAACAAGGCTGCGACGTCAGCAAGGCGGTGGTGGAGTCGTGTTTTGGGCCGGAATCATGGGAACAGAGCTGGTCGGCCCCTTTAGGGCCCCCGAAGGTGTAAAGATGACCTCTGCAAAGTATGTGGAGTTGGTTTATGACTGACCACTTTCTTCCCTGGTACAGAAGGAAGAACTATGCTTTCCGTAATAAAATCATCTTCATGCATGACAATGCACCATCTCATGCTGCAAAGAATACCTCCGCATCAATGGCTGCTATGGGGATAAAAGGAGAGAAAGTCATGGTGTGGCCTCCATCCTCCCCTGACCTCAATCCTATGGAGAACCTTTGGAGCATCCTCAAGCAAAAGATCTATGAGGGTGGGGGGCAGTTTACATCCAAACAGCAGCTCTGGGAGGCGATTCTGACATCTTGCAAACAAATTCCAGCAGAAACTGTCCAAAAACTGCCAAGTTCAATGGATGCCAGACTTGTGATCTGCTATCAGATAAGGGCTCCTATGTTACAATGTAACGTGACCGCTTCAAATGGTTACAAAGTTACAATGTTGGGAAAAGTTGGATTGAAATAGCTTTTGATTTCAGTAAATTTGCTGCAAACACAACAAATGACAATTTTCAGTTCTTTACAACCTAGAAAGTGTTTGGAAACTTCCTGTGCGGAATAATCCGGAACAAAATCCTGTTATCATTAGGAGGTTTGTTCAATAAAATGTGAATTGTCCTCTTCTAGTTGTCACCTGAGAATTCTGCCGACTGTTATTTACATCAATTATTGGGGGAAAGGAGAAAAATATCATTTGCAGAATAATTTGGAACACGGTGTATTAAAGAGTATGCAAAGCCAAAATATTTCTTCTCACTCTGGATGGAGCGGGGAAGGATCAGAACTGTCCGATTTTTTATCTGCGGCTCCATTTGAAAGATTCACCTTCACTTCCTGTCCTGGTGACAACATTTTCCATGAAGACAAATGGAGACGCTTCCACTGAAGATGTATTCAATTACTTTGTATCAAAACATTCCTTCATTGATTAAAGTGTATGTAGAGATACAATGTTTCAATTTTTGGATGGAGCGGGGGAAGGATCAGAACTGCTGCTGGGTTTTTATTGCTATCTGGGGCTCCATTGGAGGGATTCACCTTCACTTCCTGTCCTGGTGACACCATTTGAAGACAAATGGAGACGTTTCCACTGAAGATGTATTAAATTAATCAACGAAGGAATGTTTTGATACAAAGTAATTTAATACATCTTCAGTGGAAGTGTCTCCATTTGTCTTCAAATGGAAAATGTGTCACCAGGACAGGAAGTGAAGGTGAATCCCTCCAATGGAGCCCCAGATAGCAATTAAAACCCAGCAGCAGTTCTGATCCTTCCCCCGCTCCACCTGAAACTGAAGACATTGTGGCTGTATATGCACTTTAATCAATGAAGGAATGTTTTGATACAAAGTAAAGTGCATACAGAGCCACAATGTCTTCAGTTTCGGGTGGAGCGGGGGAAGGATCAGAACTGCTGCTGGGTTGTTATTGCTATCTGGGGCTCCATTGGAGAGATTCACCTTCACTTCCTGTCCTGGTGACAACATTTTACCAGACAGGAAGAGGGGAAACCTGCAACACTTGCAAAATAGAAAACTCCGAAAGAGGTCTTAGGCTTCCCATAGTGTTTTTTTTCCCATTGGTGTCACAGATTTCCCCTCTCTTCCTGTTTGTAGGCGTGAGAGATTTCACGTAAACCAATCAATATACACTTCTTGGGATTAACCCTTTGATCCCCCCAGATGTTAACCCCGTCCTGCCCAGTGCCATTAGTACAGTGTCGGTGCTTTTTATTAGCACTGATCACTGTATTGGTGTCACTGGGGATGTCAGTGGCAGTTAGTCAGTCCCCCCCGCAGCGTCAGAATGCCCGCCGCAGTCCCGCTATAAGTCGCTGATCACCGACATTACTAGTATAAAAAAAAAAAAAACATCCCAGTATCTATCCCGCCATTTGTAGACGCTATAACTTTTACGCAAACCAATCAATTCACACTTATTGGGATTTTATTTTTATTTTTTTTTATTAAAGACTTAGCAGAATAAATTTTGTATTTAATTAAAAAAAAAAAAAAAAAAAAATTCTGTTTATATAGCAAAAAAAATAAAACCCTCAGCGGTGGTCAAATACCACCAAAAGAACGCTCTATTTGTGTGAACAAAAATGATAGCAAATTCTGTATATAGTGTTGCATGACCGCACAATTACCAGTTAAAGTAGCGCAGTGCGGTACAGCAAAAAAAAACGGATGAAGGGGGTAAAATCTTCTGGAGCCGAGGTGGTTAAATACGACTAAATACATAAATGTTTCTTTGATTCATTTGTATCGGTTTGTTCTCTGTAGACATTGGCAGTTATTTTCTTCACAAGACCGCCGCCGTGCGCGGAGGCATTTGATACAATCTGCGTGGTGACGGACTGGCGGGGGTGCGGCCCCCGAGAAATAAAAGGACCGCATGCACGACTTTTTTCAGCACAGTGCAGTGTGACACCAACCAGCACTTTGCTACGGTCAATAGAATGTCATTAAATGTCACTGTGTGACATTTCAATAAAGTTTTCTCATGTCGCGCTAAGAGCCGGTACACACTGCTCCGGTATTTCCCAAAATAAAGAGGTCGCAGGCGTCCAAACTACCCAGAAGGCGTCCCGACAGGGCAACACAAAGACGCCGCATGCCGCCAGCTCATTCTGGGTTACAATGCGACAAACGGCCTCAACCACGCCCTCTAATGCATTCCTCCCCACCCCCGGGGCTTAGTCATAGAGGTAAAGCCCCCCCCCCCCCCCCCCCCCCCCCCCGGTATTTTCAGCTTTCTCGTTCTTCATCAGATGTTTTCACATGAGTGGCTGATGCATAAATACCGGAGTTTTGCTCTGCTGCTTCACCTCTACGAATAGGCCCCGGACGAAACGCGCCAGGGCCACGGACAACTGTGGCTGTTCTCACATTGTATAACACAGACTCAGCTGGCAGTGTGTTGCGTCTTTTGTAATGCAATGTCAATAAAGTTTGTTTAAAAAATAAATTGTGCGATATACCACGATCAGCACAGCTATCATCCTACCACACGGCGGCGCCAGACCTAAAAGTGTAAATTATAAATGAAAGTGTCGAGCTCAGGGGATGCCATACACCTCTGTCACTGATCCCCCACAAGCCACGCCCACAGCGACTAGCTAACCGAGGCGCGCATGTGCGGCCGTGACTTGGGGTAAGAGGGAATAAAGGGGATGTAACTTTGAATATATAAAACCGTATATAAGATCAGCCGTGATACCCTTTCACAGCCCGCACTACCTCTGGCCACCACCAGATGGAGACTCCAATCCAATCCAGCCATCGACCACACACTGGCAGATACAAATCTTACATACAATCTGGCGCCCTGTTTAGAGTTGGGGACCAGCTTAGTAATCACACCCTTCTAGAGTCCCTCCAGCTATCCTACAGCTTGAACCCCGGTGTTAATCACCCTTCCACTGTCCACCCCC